AAGCGATTATTCAAAAACTTCGAAAAAATAACTATTTATTAACTGAATCTGTCCAAACGAATTTGCTTTATAATTATTCAAAAATCTTAATTATTATTGTATTTATTAACAATAATAGGATACAGTGTTATCTCTGGTTCTAACAGTCTAATTGAAATAAATCAAATTGGAAGTTGTAATTAATTAATCTTTTTATTATCTTAGCTCATTAATTAAAGAAAACAAAATTCTTCTATTAATTACATTTTTCAACATTTATTTGGACAGTTTTTTTGCTTCAGAACAAGTGTAAAACGGTTGCAAAAACCCAATTTTTTTCGACAAAATCTTAACCCTGTCATAAATAAAAATCTGGCATGCACTGTAGAGCCTATGTGAAAAAATTCTAAGCTTTATTCTGAGCCCACATTTTGGAGAAGTTCGTAGTATTATTTATGACAGGGTAAGGATTTTGTCGAAAAAAAATTTGGTTTTTGCAACCGTTTTATACTTGTTCTGAAAAAAATGTCCAAATAAATGTTGAAAAATGTAATTAATAGAAGAATTTTGTTTTCTTTAATTAATGAGCTAAGATAATAAAAAGATTAATTAATTACAACTTCCAATTTGATTTATTTCAATTAGACTGTTAGAACCAGAGATAACACTGTATCCTATTATTGTTAATAAATACAATAATAATTAAGATTTTTGAATAATTATAAAGCAAATTCGTTTGGACAGATTCAGTTAATAAATAGTTATTTTTTCGAAGTTTTTGAATAATCGCTTCCATGTAAAATCTTGTACCAAAGTCGACCATTTTTGAAAATGTCGAAAAATGGGGTACACTGTGATGTAATTTTGCACCTGTACGGTGCAAAAATTTTTTTAGTATTGGATTTTCGTATACAAACATATGAGATTCCACGCTTTTCAAAAATATTTCTCATTTTTTTCAAATAATTTTTTTAACAGAGATATTTCAAGTCAAACTCAAACATTCTTCATTGGCCTATCATTTTCTCGCGAATAATAATATTTTATTAATAAGATTGTATCAACCTTACATCTCAATCAGTTTACATGTTTTATTAGACAACATTATGCTTCTAGTTCTAAATAGCTTTGGTGCTATTGGGCCGACAGTTTTTTTCAAAGTGTAGATTTGTTTATAAATCTTATATACACATGCGGCGATCCACCCAGCTGTTATGTGTCATGGCGTCGCGCCGTTTGATTAAACAGCGTGTGCCCAAGTATCACGTAATATTCCTGGAATATTGCAGCAATGTAACATGTAATGTTAGTAACATTACAGTCTAACATTGCAATAATATTAAAATGTCCGCCCCAAGGTAATACTACATGTAATGTTACAGTAACATTACATGGTAATGGTAATGTTACTGCAATGTAACACGGTAATGTTACTGCAATGTAACACTGTAATGTTACTAACATTACATGTAACATTGCTGCAACACTCCAATAATGTTACGTGCTACTTGAGTGATGCATTCTGTTTGAGATTTTCAGTGTTTATTGGTGTCTTAGATTTACCTTTTAGAAGTTTATCGCAAATAAAGATAATTATGAAAGAAGGGAGTGTTCAACGTGTTACTTCTTACTTTTAAAATTTTAAATTCTTCAAAAACTAGCTAAATGATTAATTCCTTCTTCTGCATAATTACCTAAATAATAATGTATTATGTTTTCTAAATGTACACACAAAAAAATGCTTTTGTATGTTGATTTATATACTACAAAATTGTTTCAAAAAATGTTCTTAAGCTAATTTAATTTCGAGAAATCAATAAAAGGAAATTTTTGCAATTGTTTTCTTTATACCTTCTTTGTTTTATCTATTCCTAATCCAAAATCATTAGTTTATTTTTAACATTCATACACGAAGAAAAAAATCAAGCGTTTGCAGTATGGATATGGTTCATACTTATAAAGCACGGCGCTGTTTATCTAGATTTGTAAAAATATATGTTGAAAGAGTAGAAATCTATACTTTTTTAGCATAGATTTCTACAAATCGAGTATAAACAGCACCGTGCTGTTTATACGCTGTTTACACAACTGCTGTTTAAACGTTTGATTTTTCTCTCCGTGTAAATGAACAAAAAATAATTCCTCAAAAACATTTAAAAAATACTGTTTTTTCCTTCATAATTTTTGAATGTTCAATTCCTTTCAATTCCGTTTATTTCTAAGAATGAACTGAAATATATAGAACTTAACATTTTCTTATGTCTGCCAGTGGAAAAAGGGCTCAGAATTAAAATTAGGAACTTCTAAGACAAGTCCTCAAACTACAAATCCTGAAATATTGTGTACGCATTCCCAATCACAATCTTTAAAACTTTGTTGATACTTTAAAAAAGTAACATTTAAAAGTTAAATTATCCATATTTAAAAAAAATTAATTTTCGAGGTTAAATTATCTTGAAATAATTACTTAAAAATAAAAAATAAATATTTCCGTAGTTCGTCATATTTTTACCATGCTCGGAAAAAATCAAATTTTTAAAAATTGGGTCATATTCCAGAATATTTAAAAATTATTTTTAAAATCGGTGAAATATTTATATGAATTTTTTGTAATGGGTATCAATAGTAAAAGTTTTACTTACCTTTAGAAAAGATGATTTATATCTTAATAGCTGCCTATAAGAATCAATTTCCACAATGAGTTTAATTACTTTACAAAATTTTATCACTTGAGTTTGATTTTTCGCAATATAATAAAATTCATGAATATCAAATAATATTAACTACAAGTGTGACTGAAATCCGACTGATTTCCACAAAAAAAAATTAATTTCCGGAAAATTTCCGAAGATTTCCGTACAAAAAAAATAAATTTCCGGAAGATTTGCGTAAAAAAACCTGACTCTAGCCTTCTTGACTCAATGGTAAATGTTGAAAACCAAAAATGTTTATAACTTTTTTCATAGTTACCTAGAGGTCACAAAAATTTAACTACGCCTTTATATTAACTTTATCTAGCTGCTCATCAAGTTCTATCAAAATCTGTTCATTAAATCAATTATCGATAGAACCTCCTTAATATTAAAATATTTTTTCTGATAATTTTATAAGTTAAATTATATATTATTTTTTTTCTCACAATAATAATAATTTGAATTATTATTTTCAAATTCAAGAGTTTCGTTTATCTGAAAAATTTTAAGTGAAAAAAATGTTCATTAGGTAATAATAACTATTTATGCCTAGTAGTTTTACACTAGGTTTAACTGTTTACTGAATATTATCAAAAATATATTTTTCGTCAAACGCACGCGACTAAACACAAATAACCTTGAGACGTTGCGATTGTCGTGCTCCCACCATCCCATCTACTCAATGCACTCCCCGCCTGTGACGTCATGAGGGGAAAGCATTGAGTAGATAAGATGGTGGGAGCACGACAATCGCAACGTCTCAAGGTTATTTGTGTTTAGTCGCGCGCGTTTGACGAAAAATATATTTTTGATAATATTCAGTAAACAGTTAAACCTAGTGTAAAACTATTAGGCATAAATATTTATTACTATCTAATGAACATTTTTTTCACTTAAAATTTTTCAGATAAACGAAACTCTTGAACTTTGAAAATAATAATTTGACATTGCAAGAAAAAAAATAATATATAATTTAATTTTATTTATATGAATCTTATATAATTAATATAAATATTATACACTAAATAAATATTAATATTTATTTACTAATTGATATCTTAATCATAATAATAATACTTATATTATTTAATAATAATTAATAATAAGAATAATAATTTATTTAAATAGTATAAAAAATTACTAAAAAATATCAGAAATAATATTTTAATATTAAATAATTTATAAATATTTATATCTAATTTATATCTAATATTGGTAAGTGCACACGGTAATAAATAAACTATCAAGATTGATTCAAGATTGAATAAAGACGGGATGTTGAATACGAAGATTGACCGAGTGTTAAATCGAGCATGGGACGAACATTGGTGTGCCATGCTGAACCAATATTGAGTGCCAATGATATAAAGACTGCTTCAACTCTGGGTTACCCACGCTGGGCGTTCAAGACTCAGTCAAGTTTCAACCCATCGTCAGCACTGGTCTTTCGCGCCTGGGTTACTTCTGCATTTACTAGTCGCATATGATCTGACTAACTGCAGAATAAACCGGACTAATTACGGATTCAATAGTTATAAAAAACGGTATTAATTTCAAACTTAATTCATGGTAAAAAAAACTCCACAATAAACCGTACTGTTGCGGACAAATTCCAGATTAGTCCGAAATCGGTCCCACTTTTTATTCAGGGTATTTACTTATGATAAATAAAATATTTAATTCTGCAGTCAATTTGTTTTTACAAATTTACTAGTATTATTAGTTATCTTGTTTTAATATTAAAATATTTTTATAAAATATTTTCAATATTAAAATTAACACTGATGTATTAGTTTCTTGTCATTTCTTTTCGTGGCACTTTATAAATTCTATTATGAATTTAAACTTCCATGCGAGCGTGGTATAGTGGTTAGTGTATTCGATTTCGGTGCGATATAATGTTAGATAGGTGTAGGTTCGAATCCCCAAGCGTTAGAAATCTTAAGTTAATGTAAATAAAATTGCGATAGGTAAATCGAAAAATATGTTGAATATACCATTAAGTAATAATAATTAATATGTGTAACTTGTATAATTATTTTTTTTATTAACATTCACTAAATTGTCCGGACTAAATTTTGACTGTTTCGGACTAATTCCGGATTCACTAGTTAAAATCAACTGATTAATTTCGGACTTCATCGGACCAACTCCGGTTTCACTAGTTGTTCACAAACCGTATAGAGTTCGGATTTTTCCGGATTAATTTCGGGTGACAAAAACCTGACCATAAACCGCATTGTTTCGGACAAATTTCGGATTAGTCCGAAATCTGTCCGGTTTTTTAACCAGGGGTGTGAATGAAAAAAAAGTTTCAAGAAAACAAACTTTTTTTTCATAAATATAGCAAATGGATAACAAGGAAATGTAATACATAAAAGAATAATATAAAAAGGAAAAATATTTACCAACAACGTAATATCGTTTGATATGCCTCAGTAGCATTGAAAGTGTCGCACCCGCGAGTGCTTGAAGTAATGCAAGACTCAGGAAACTTGTACTCACTGATTTCGCACCTCCCAAGGCGCAAACAATGTAAGCCTTAGTAAAAAGAAATTAAAAATTCTCTTTTATTACAGACATGTGAAACAAACTTTTTTTTTACAATTATTAAACAAATTTCTCACATTTTTTAAGAAAAAAATAACTTACTTCCGTGAAGTCGGCGAATATGAAGCCCTGCTCCAAACCGACGAAAAGAGTAAGAGGCGCTGCCAATTGCAGTTTGGGATCTTGAAATGCGCTTTTTATTGATTTTAATAAATTACTTGTGCTGATTCTATCGTTAACATTTTGCGGCTCCTTTAATCTCGAATCCAAAAAAGCAATAGATGTGCCAATCGCAAGAACCGCCAGTCCCAGCCAAACGCTCACTATTATTTTTGATGTTCCTGGCGGAATCGTCGTCATGAATATCGTCTCATTGTAAACTAAAAGAAAAATCGATCTTCTATTATCAAACTAAAAAAACAATTGTTTTTAAATAAATTAATAATTAATCATAGATGAATATTAGAATCATTCTTACACCGAAAAAAATCTCGATGGTATTATTAACTATGACCCTATAGTTAATCTTAACCTAGTAAAAGTAATAAGGATTCCTAATCATTATGGTTAGGATCGCTAGGTTGATTCAACAAATTCAAGCCTGGCAAAAACAACCCCGCAAATCCTAGTCAAATTGACTAGGATTTTAGTAATTTTGCCTATATTTGATCATTCGACGACTTGGCGATTAGGGGATATGCATGCGTCTCAGATTTCGGTACCTGAATAGTGGGTAAAAATACCGAAAGGAACACCAGCGCTGCATGTGGTTAAATTGTTGACTATGAGATGCACAAAACATAACCTATATTATTTGTTTATGTTTTACTAATTCATGTGTGTCATATATGTTTCCACGTGTTCCTCATATTTTTTAAATATTATCAAAGTAAAATAATTATAGTGTTATTTTCAGTGTTATAATTCTATCAATTGTGAATGAACTGTGTTTTCCATTTTTCCCATGCGCAGCGCTAGTGTTCCTTTCGGTATTTTTCACCTACTAAGCGGGTACAGAAATCTGTCTCATTTATAATGTATTTCGTTCGGTCTCCTTATACTACTTCATGATCATTACTCGCGTATGTACTGGCTATATGTAATATACAAGAGGCCATTTAAACAGAACAGAACATCATTACTCGCGTCTATTTTTTGTACATAAAATCGAGTTCTTACATACATCAAAATTGCTGGTTTCTCGGAACCTCTGGAAATATAGATAGTCCATGTTTTAGAAAGTAAACTATTTAATTATAGTAGTCAATTCTTTCAGACTTTTTTGGTTAGGTTTCAATATAAATCGTTGAAATTTTTACGCACGTGGTGACAACATTTTTACTATTTTAATCGCGCAGTGTGTTTGAAAATTTACCTTTGCAATAATTTGTGTATTTAAATTTATTTTCATTTGAATGTCATAAATAATTAAAAATAAATAGTTTTTGACAAGTGTATAAAATTGTGTACTCGAAATGTATAAAACATCATCTGATTAAGTATTGTATTTTTACTCGAAAATCTAGTGTCTATTAAAAAATTAAAATACCAAGTCGTGTTTAGTGTACTGGATATCGTTCCGGGTTTCAAAGTGCGTATTCGTTAGGTTCAGGTGTTCGCGTCCCCCCTGCGTCAAATATTTATTTTATAAGTTTAAATTAATTCTAAGGTATATAAATACAAAGTCAAATATAAATATGTTCAAATACAGTAATTAATTTTTTTCTTTTAATTAGTTTTTCTCTTTTATTTGATAATAAGCATTTGATTAGCAATTTCAAATAATTATGATACACAATGTAAATCTAATATTATTTTCCTAGTCAATTTGACTATATTTTCCTGGCCACTTTAACTATGCTTGAATTTTATTACTTTGACTAGGATTCTATAGTGGGTTCCTCTCGTAACTAGGAAACCTAGTCAATTCATGGTATACGGGTCCTAGGCATTTTTTTCGGTGTACTTATAAAGTTTTGTTCATTTAAAATAGAAATTTTTCAAAAGTATAACAATTTTGAATTTCCGGTTTTGTATAGATGATTCTGATTTTCTTCTCTAAAATTGAAAAAATAAAATTTATTTTTACTTTTGTTTTTTAACTATTTCATAATTACTTTAATTATAAATAAAAATGAAATATCATTCGAGAAAGTGTTAATTAATAAAATATTAAATTCATCAACTAACAATGATCTTCGTAAAAATGCATTTTTGTTTCAGGACAATATTCAGCGCCACATTCCTCCTCTGATTCTCCATTGGACATGGAATTTGATTCAGACATATCGGTTATTCTTACAAGTATCGATGCAATGAAACAACCTGCAAACAGTTTTTATGTCCAAAAATTTAAAAATTTACAAAATTTTTCTTTGTTTGTAAAAATAAAATATTAATAATATTTAGATAAGAAGAATATAAATTTCTATTTATTTTTAGTTTTTGTATTTTTAAATTAAGTATTGCTTACCAAAAGCGAGACCCAGGTCCTCTGCTAATTTCATACTTCTATTCAGTCTTCTCAGCAAGCAATCTCTTCTTGTGTCATCCGGATCTTCAGGATCGGCACAAACAAGACCCAAACTAGCAGCACAAACATTCACGTGGGATGTTCTCGCCAAAAATCCTGGACTCATCCAGATTCCTAGCAAGGCATAGCTTGGCACTAGGACATACCATCTGAAAGTTGGGAGAAAAAATTAATCATTCATTTACAAAATATTTTCATAACTATTTAAAAATATTTTTCGTTTTTGGAAAATTTTTAATCTTTATAAAAGTGTCTAAAAATTACAGTATTTGACAAAGATGTTCAATAAAAAGCTTTTTAATAATAATAACATAAAATTTCAAAGAACAAAAAGATGAGGATAAAATTAGAATTTCTCAAAAATTATAAATAGAAATAAATCTTTCAAAGACGATTAAAAACAAAATAATTACAAAACTTATCAAAAATTTTAACTTTTTTATTTTTTATGTTATCAAAAACTTTTAAAAACAAAAACACAGGAACGAATTACAGAATGCTTTCAAAAATATTTTAAAATCAAAGTAACTACAGAATCACTCTTAATTTTGTATCTAAAAAGAACTAAAATATCTTTTAATATAAGAAAGATCACATAAAATAAAATTACAAAATCAGAAGTAAGCAGAAATATAGACATATTGGATTTATGTCATATTTTTTATTGACATTTTTTTTAAATGTGATTTTTAAACTCCTGAGGTCAAATAACATAAAGATATGTCGAAAAATCGAACTCGAAAAATTTTAGTATTACAATACTTTCTTTATGAGGAAGCAATAATAACATAATTTCTCAAAAATTTCGAATTTCAAGTTTTTATTACATAGGGGAGAGTGGGGCAAACCGGCTCGGTGGGTAAACCGGCCAGGTGTCAATATCTCCGAAATGGCGAAATTGTCAAAAGTGTTGTTTAGAAATTTGAAACAACCATATGTAGTATACCCTATATACACTTTTACGAACTTGTTCTTAAAGGAAATTGTGACGAAATCGTGTAATATTTTCAAATATTAAGTCTTAGTTTTTGAAGGTTCACACCTTAGGAATATTTACCACCAAAAACTTTGATCAATTTGCAAAGCGTTTTTTTAAACAAATATTAATTCTCAAAATGGGCCTGTGGGGCAAACCGGCCATAGGATATTTTCCTTGTATCATTGTTTCACGAAAATTATTATTAATTAGAATGTTTTTTTCATTAAAATATTTACTTTCAATGAAATAGTATATTGTGCAACAAGTACAGAAAGAAGCTGTTTTTCGACGAGTGCAAAGTTTGCTGTCCCGAGCGAAGCGAGGGCAGCAATTTGCACGAAGTTGGAAAATCTTCTTTCGTACGTGTTGCACACAGTACTTTGTGCAACACCTTTTGGTTTTGATAAAAAAAGCTGTTTGGAAACGCTAGTTGACGCCAACATACGTACTGTTTAGCAGGGTTTGGAACGTATGTTCCCGCACGTAATATTCGTGGTTTTTTACGCGTATATTACTGTAAAAAACAGGTATTATATACAAATAGAAAACAAATACCTATGTATATCACCAAAAAAAAAAACCAAAAGTTTTAGAACTTTGTCGCACTAGTGCAGCAAAGTAAGCACTTTGCCGCACTAGTGCAGCAAAATAAGCACTTTGCCGCACTAGTGCAGCAAAGTAAGCTCTTTGCCGCACTAGTGCAGCAAAGTACTGTTTTGCGCCTACTTTACAGGCATGCAAAGTATTACTTTCCTTACAGGTGTTGCACAAAATAATTATCTTCCAATGAGAATTAGACCCTTTAATATTGTTTTCCTGATAATTTTAAACATTTTTGTTTTGTTATTAAAAAAAATTAATTATTTATTTAATTAAAATTCAATACTGTATTATTATTTACATTATTACAACCGTTGTTCACAAGATTCTTTATGTTTGTTGTTATTGTAGATTATACAAATGCAATATTATAGATAAAAAACCTAGTCACAAGAGTAAAAAAACCGTCAGTATATGGCCGGTATGCTCCACTCTCCCCTAATCAAGCAAATTTTGAAACAACTGCGAAAACGCAGTAATTATAATTACAGAATTATTAATTATTAATTATTAACTATAATAATCGTCGTATTCTGTCCATTCTGTCCAGTCTGTCCAGTCTGTCCACACTTGAAGTTAGACTATTGTGCATGCTTTTGTTTTTTTTGATATATTCTGATAGATAATATTATACGTCATTATTTTTTCACTAATTTTTAAATTTAATAATATTATTTTTATTTCTCAAATAATTCAAAAATATTTTTATTAATTTAAAAAAATTATTAATGTTATTATATTATTAATTATTTCCTTTGTTTCTAAAAAATAAATCCTGCAAAATATTTTCTTTTTTTTATATGAAAAACTTAATTACTTGACAAAATTTTGACTTCTTCCCTAACCCTAAAGAAAATTCTGATACACTCTAAAAATGATTAGACACTCAAAAAATGTTCTAAAATTACATTTAAATTTACCAATTTCTGAAATTATTTGAAAACATCAATAACTTCTTTTCTAAATAAATTTTAATCATTAGGTATTATTTTCTCACAGGAATAAATAATTTTTAATAATTTTTGAAAAAAGTTCTTTGAGAATTTTAAAATCCATTTGTTTACAAATCAATTTTACGAAATTTAAATTATTCAGAAATTCTTCAATTAAATACGAATTAAAAAATAAACACTTCAAATAATTTCAGGATAAAATTCAATTAAACTTTTTTAATATAATTAATTCTACAGAATTGTTAGTTATAAGTATGAAAAATACAAATTTTTAAAGAATTTGATTTGAAACCATTTTAAAATTTAATTATTTCTTAAAATTCATGCTATAGGGTCATTTGGGGTAAATGTAAACAGTAGATGTTTCAGCTAAATTTAGAAATTTAAAAATAAGTACGACGTCAATATTTTTACCTCAGCTCACTTACAAGATGTTCTGAGTATTGCCAATATTTTATTTTGACAATTGGCAATGCCATAGTGTAAGTTATTTTTTAATGCAAAAAAGATTGAAAATCAAAGTTTTACTGTTTCAGTATTTTGTCTTGCATTTGCATAAAGATAAATTTAAAGATCAACCAAAAATATGAAATTATTCCTTATTAATGCACTAACAAAAATTGACTTTGATTTTTGATTTTCGTCAATTTAGTTAATAAATAATTAAGTGTTTACATTTACCCCGAGAATTCAAAAACTCGGGGTAAATGTAAACAGAACTTCAACTACATTTTAAAAGAAAATAATTGAATAAATTTGCTTCTTTTTCGCAATTTTATTAATTTGTCAATGTAAAATTACATAGAAAAGGAAATTAGGTCCTCTTTAAAAACAAAATTTTAAAAAAAAATTTTTTTTTAAATTTGATCAATTTTTAAAAATATTTTTAGGTTCATCCGCCATTTTGAAAATTTGAAAATTTGACTTCAAATTCGTATTCAGCGACCTCAAAAACCCCCGGGTAGCCAGATTCAAGCAAATTTGATCAATTTTTAACAATATTTTATGTTTGACCGCCATATTGGATCCACCATTTTGAAATTTAAAAATTTGATTTTTGATTCTTATTCATAAAAATAAAAAAAAACTTCTTTTTACCAAGTTGAATGAAAATTTATTAAAATTTGTTCAAGTTATTCAAGTTTTTACATTACTAATTTTGTAAGGGTTGATTGTTTATTTTATATGATACATTATCAGTCAACTGGTTGATTTACTATACATCTACGAAGAATTTTTTTCAGTTTTTCCATCCCTTAAAACAGTAGTATACTTGAAATAACTTGTTTCTTAAACCTCGCTTAACTACAGTGGTGTTTACATTTACCCCGAATTTTAGGAAAATTTCAAAATCTCGGGGTAAATGTAAACAGTCAGTTTTAGGCGATTCAGGTGCATCAATATTTTTTTGTACCTCATAAGATTTTTCTAGGGAAGTAAAGTAACAAGTTCATGCAAAAAAAATCCGTCCGTTTTACCTTTTAACAAAAAAGCTAATGTTTTTGGTCAAAAATAGATATTCCGTTTACATTTACCCCAATTGACCCTAATGCTTTTAATAATCAATTATTATGTAAAACTTTAACTGAAATTCATTTTAAAATAAATTTTTATTAGATAATTCAATAATTTAAATGCAAAAATAAATAATTTATTTAATATTTAAATTTTCTTAAAATTGAAGTCTCATAAAGAATTTTATCAAAACATTTTTTAATCATTCATTTCTTTTAACGATTTTTCATAAAATTTAAGAACAATTTTTAAGAACAATTACATTTTTCGATGAATTTGATTAAAATTGTATTAGAAATAATTTAAACTCTGCCATGAGTTTTATTTATGAAAATAATTGAATTCCTAAAAGAAATTTTATTATTTATAAAAATAATTAAATTATTGCGAAGAAATTCATAAAAATATTGTAAATAATAGATTTCTTATTAAATTTTTTAAAAATAATTGACATTTTGACGACGAGAATATTAAAAAATTCTTGAACATAATTGAATTTCTGCGAAAAATTTTATTACTTTTGAAAATAATTGCATTTATGCAATCAGTTATAAATTTTCAAAAATTCAATTTATTATTGGGAGGCTTAAAATGAATTTTGTGCAAAGTTAGCAAAGCATTCAAAATTTTTGCTCACAAATTTTTTTATTTTTTTTGTTATTTGTGACAGGAATTTGTCGTAAATTACTGAAGTAACATTTCAAACTAAACGAAAAAGTAGACATAATTTGATAATTTCTATTTTATAATCATAATTTTCGCACAAAATTTTGTTTTTTTAAATATTTGAATTCATTTTTGTGATTACACATTTATGTAATCCCGTTTTCATTGTTTATAGGCATTATTATTAATTATCTATTGATACTAAGAGAAACTACACGCGCGCTATAGCGCGCGTTTGTTTGGCTGTTACATATACAATAATTTAAAAAGATAACATTTTTGTAATTTTTCATAAATTTTTCGAAGAATTTTTTATTCAAATTATGTAAAGATAATTTTATTTCTTTTGAGTAATAATAATAATAAATTAAATACTTCATTTGGCAGGCGTGACAGTTGCTACTTATTTATATTACTTAATAAAAAAATTTTAAAT